TCCAGCCCCTCCTTTTCCTTTTTAAAGAAAATATAATTAGCTTGATTAGTTTTCACCTCGTTATTTTTTGATTTTGGGAGTTGGGGGCCACACCCAGCAGTGTCAGGGGTAACTTCTGGCTCATTAATCAATTCAAATGGGCTGGGGGGGGACCATGTGGGATGCCAGAAACTGAACCCAGATCTGCGGTATGCAAAGCAAGCACCTTACCTGCTGTACTCCCTCTCTCTGGCCCCTTCACTTTGTTACTTTTGTGTGAAAAACTTTCTAAACCTTTAAAGTGAAAACCTTGACATTTCAGCCTCATTGGCGTATTCTGCCAAACTGTGTGATAATGGCGTTGAAGTCTTAGAGGTTTTGGTTGTCTCACAACCTCATCTTTGCACTGACACCTGGCCCCCTCCCCGGGGTTCACTTTATCTTTCTAGTATAAACAATGCCACTCGAGTAACCATGGCCACAGGTATTTTTGACATGCATATTTTTCAGCAGAACTGCTTCCCGAATGAGGGGCTGCTGTCTCAGAGGGGGACCATTGTAGTTTGATAATCCCCAGCTCACAGATTTGTAATTCCAGTGTTTGAGAGCGCTTGCTAAAACTGCAACTCTCTATGAAGAATTGAGTTCTGTGAATATATATTCACGTATGTATGAATACACACATACATATATACATGTATATATGTATATTGGATTTTTGAGTCATACTTGGCAGTGCTCAGGGGTTACTCCTGGCTCTGCACTCAGGAATTACTCCTGGTGGTACTTAGGGGACCATATGAGATGCCAGGGATCGAACCCAGGTCAGTTGTGTCCAAGGCAAAACACCCTCTCTGCTGTACTATCACTCTGGCCCCACGTTCTGTGAATATTTAAAGAAGCCCTTTTTCTATAGAAGACAATAATAAGGAGTAGAATCAATAAGGATGATAATCCTCTTGTTTTGAGATGATCCAGACTTACATGAGAGCCCTGGCGAAGAATGGCAAGCTGGACCCTTTATCACATTTTTGCTGGCCAAAGTCCCCAAGTGTTCCCTCTGCCCAGGCACGTTAGTCCCATGCCTGGGCTCTACTATGCCTTAGACAGCAACCGAGTTTCTAAGAAGGTCAAGAGCTGCCTGGCTCAGTCAGTGGCTGGGAAATTGGTCGAGACCAGTGTTCTTTAGTCCTTTGCTCCAGTGGAGGCGCTGGCCTGCCCACTGCTCCATGGCTGGCATCTTCAATCAAGGCAGACCAGTGGTTTCAAGCTTCCGACACCTGCAGACTGGCACAGTCCATGGAGTGGTGACTAAGGAATGCTGGCTGGTCCATGCAATGACCTCTTCCCAAGCGTATGACTGTCATACCGTTTGTCAGGTTAGAGTTCCCCCACCCTCTCACCCCTACTTAGAGGTGGAAAACGGGACTCTAGGGCTGAGAGTCTAATGCAGAACAGCATTACTGAGCACGGGCTCCTCTTTGCCTTTCTGAAAATAGAAGAGGGTTGGGAAGGAAATCCTGAAGTCCAGCCCAAACAGCCAAAACATATGTTCTAATTTCCATATATTCTAAGTCTAAGTTGCTCTACTCCTTAGAAGCAGGTCTAAAAGTCTGTTTACACATATTTTACACATATTTCTACTATGCTTTATGGTTTGGCTTCCCAGTCTATATCAGAGTGAAAACACAGGGACTAAAGTTGTTGAACTAGGGGCTGGAATTATAGTACAGAGGGGAGGGCGTTTGCCTTGCATGTGGCAGAACTGGGTTTAATCCCCAGCATTCCATAGGGTCCCCTGAGCACCACCAGGAGTAATTCCTGAGTGCAGAGCCAGGAGAACACCTAAGCATCGCGGGGTGTGATCAAAAAGGACAAAAGAAACTAAGTTGTTGAACTGAAGACACTATGGAAAAAGACATTTTTAAATGGCTATTTATTAAAAACAGCAGCAGTATTCAGGATGGCTCAGGTCATCAACAGTCAAAGTCTCTTGGCATGAGCTTAAGTAAGGGTTGAGAACAGGTTGGGGCTCGAGAGCTATTATAGTAATCAAGGTTACTTTACCTTGCTCAAAGCTGACCCAGGTTCAATCCCCAACACTGTATATGGTCCCCCAAGCCCTGCTAGGAGTGATCAGAGACAGGAGTAAGTCCTGGGCACCACTGGTGTGATCCACCTCCCCAATAACCCCTCAAAAAAAAAAGAGAAAGGGTTAAATAGCATACTATTATAGCAGACCAGGGAACAAGGTATTTTTTTAGCACCAGCCCTTTACAAAAGAATTGAGTCTTTTCAATAAGATGTCCGTGACTTTTTATAAATATTTGCATAAAAAATGTAAAATACAATTTTCTAGGTAAATTTCTGTTACCTGGAAAGTCAATAAGTTGGGCCATTTAACACCAGTATTTATTGGTATCCTCTATTGTGCTCAGAGTCGGACCCCTTGGAATACATAAGGACCCCCCAATTCTAGGTGCAGAGAGTGTCCTTCACTGGCCAGTGCAGACTCGTGGAATCTGGCCAGCAGGTCTCAGGGCTGGCTTCATCACTGTAACTGACTTTCATCTCAGAGCCTCTTGGGTTCTACGGTGTCCCTGCTCAAGGAGGCAGGATGATAAAATGACTGAAGCAGCAGCAAATGTAAAGTAAATAAATTAAATAAATAAAAATCCCTGGGACTCTGGAAACCTGGTGGATCTACTTGGAACTGCAACAGTGATGAACACACTGGACTGAGTCTCAATTGTCAGTCTTCCATAGTGAGTGTAATTTACTTAGCTAATTTCACAAGTAGATTATGTTCTTTCAGGGATAATAGGAATCATAAATATGCCATCACTGCCTGCATTCATATCCATTTCATAGCCTCACAGGCTTAAATAGAGGAAATACATTATAAAACACAAATTAATTGCACTTATTTCCTAGATGTATTAAACTTTTGTTTTGTTTAGTAGAGGTACCAAATTTAAGACACCAAAATAGAGATGGCACTGAATTACTGAATTTAAGTAACTACATCTTGGTATGATGCAAACATAATGCTAACAGTAGTAATAGCACCACCACATTAGTTCCCACTTATTTAGTGCTTACTCTTAGGTATCATGCTGGGAGTTTTTAATATATTACCTTGAATCCACCCAACGACTTCTCAAATGCATAGCTATTAGTCCTATTCTGTGATGGAGGAAATGGAGATTTAAGAAGGTTAATTAACCTGTTCACGTGATTCATGTCATTATTTTAAAAGAAGTGGACTCAACCTTGGACATCCTTACTCCTTCTCCCATCTTTGTGAGGTGTTACTAACTTAAATTTAGTGAAGAGACACACAGAATCCCACCTGTATGCAGAAATAATCTTATCTCTTAGGCATAAGTTTTCCTACCGTGGAAGGTGGGTGTGTGACAAACAGGCTTACACCACAGTATAAAAATAAAAGGGCAGTTATGTGACTTATTTCCAAAAGTAGATATAGTAGTCATGGGACCTCTCATTCCTTGGTTAAAAATACACTGTGAGTAGTTTCTATACTGTCTTTACAGGTTTTATCTTGGCATAGACACTCAGAACAATTTGTTCTCTAAAATATATTATGGAATCCTTATCTTGCCCTGCCATCTCTAGAACTTAACTGAGCACAATGGTGCAAGACATAATATTCCTCAAAACAACAATCTTCAAAGTTCAAAGGTACTTCCACAGACCCTTTGTGCCACACATCACTGATGTGTGTGTCTTCAGCATTCCAAAAAAAGTTAGCAGCATCTTTAGGAAGTTTTACTAAAGGGGGAAAACAGAATTAGACATACAAGTATGAAAACGATGGAGGTCAATGAAAAAATTCAAGGTGTAGTCTAGTTTCTTTTCTTTTTTATGGGGGGGGCCGGTGTTGAGCCACATTTGGCGATGATCAGGCTTACTCCTGGCTTTGTGCTCAGGGAACTCTATGGGATGCTGGAAATCAAACCCGGGTCAGTCATGTGCAGGGCAATAACCCGACCCCCTGTATTATTTCTTAGACCCCTTAGCTGATTTTAAACTTTGAAATGCTTCTTTCGCCCTATTTGCAACAACTATAGCCTTGTGGCCAGCTCTACTGGCTTCAAATAGACTTGAAGATCATTAGAATTCAAATCCATTCAGTGCTGCTTCACTTTGGTAATTTGTCCGTTAAGACTAAGTAGTGTACTCCGCACCTATTTTAATGACATAGCACATGGATAACATTTTGACTCATTTAAGACCATGTTTACTGACAGGCGTAGTGCACACACACACACACACACACATCGACACCCACACCCACCCACCCACCCACACCACACTCCTTGGCGCTTGCTTACAGCACCCTGCACCTTCCAAGAGCCACAAGAAATAGTGGCTACAAACGAACACACTGAATTTCCCAACGGAAGGTCCCAAATGTGAAAACACATAGTTATGCATATTAAAAAAATGGGTAGAAGTCCACTTGAATGAAGAGAACTAGGCTCAAGGTCACCAAGCCGTGTACCCCCTCAATCCCTGCTCCATCACCCGGGACAGCCCAGCCGACTTCCAACCGGCCTTTGCGTGGGTTTTCATCATGGTCTGAGTCCATGTCTCTCCTACTTCTTGCCTCCTCCCCCTGTCCGCCGAGGACGGCAGAGCTGTCGGGACGGGAGCACGGGGGTCAGCAGAGGCAAGAGGAGGGGGCGTGCCTGCAGAGAGGGGTCTCAGGGACGGCCTGCTGGGGATGCAAGCGCGCCCTCGGCCTCCAGGACCCCCGGCCCGGGGAGGAACGGGAGGGACGCGGAGGGGGCGGCGGCAGAGGCAGCCCGAAGTGGGGGTGGGGGGAGGCACAGCTTCTTGGGGGAGGGGGAGGGGGTCCCAGTCCACAATGAGGTCATCCCAGCGCCCGGAAGTGACACGGCATCACCTGCTCGGCGCGCCCCGCCCCTTCCCGCGCCGGCTCCGCCCCCGCGGCCGCCGGGAGGCGTCGGGGGGCGTTTCCGCGGGCGCCGCGCCGGGCGCCGCGACGCTGCGGAAGGGGACCCCCGCGCGCCCGGCACGGCCCGCTCCAGGGACCACCCGGGGCCGCCCCGGCCGGCCCGGCGGGGTGCAGACGCGCCAGGGGGTCAACCTGATGGGTCTCGGGGTCAACGGAAGAGCGGGAGGGGCGCCCCGGCGGGGCGAAGCCCCCGGCCCCCCGGCCCGCGGCTGAGGCGCAGGAGGGCGGCCATCTTGGCCGCGAGGGGCGGGCCCGGGCGCGGCGGGCGCCGCGCGATTGGGGGGCCCGGCCGGAAGTGACGCGGCGGGCCGGAAGCGGCGGGGGCTCCCGGGCGCGCTCCCCCCGCGCGCGCCGGCGCCCCCGCTCGCTCCCCGCCCCCCGCCTCCTCTCGGGCCGGCTCCCCCCCCGCGCGCGCGGGCCCCGGCCCGCCTCCCCCGCCCGCGGAGCCGCGGAGAGAGGCAAGATGGCGGCCAAGTCCGATGGCGGCGGCGCGGGGGTGGGCTTCGCCCAGCTGCGCGACCTGGACGAGGCGGCGGGCGGCGACGAGGACGGCGAGCCCGGCGGCGGCGGCGGCGGCGGCGGCGGCGGCGGGAGCGGCGAGGAGCCGGGCGAGAGCAGCTCGCTGCACATCTGCCACTGCTGCAACAGCTCGTCGTGCTACTGGGGCTGCCGCTCGGCCTGCCTGCGCTCGCTGCTCGGGCCCAAGGCGCGCCGCGCCCCCGCCGCCGCCCCCCACGCCGCCGCCGACGGGGGGTCCCGGCCGCCGCCGCCGCCCGCCGCGCGCCGCCCCCCGACGCCGCCGCCGCCCGCGCAGCGCCCGTGGCTCGACTGCCTGTGGATCGTGCTGGCGCTGCTCGTGTTCTTCGGGGACGTGGGCACCGACCTGTGGCTGGCCCTCGACTACTACCGGCGCGGCGACTACGGCTGCTCGGCGCTCACCCTCGCCTTCGTGCTCGTGCCGTCGCTGCTGGTGCAGAGCCTGAGCTTCCGCTGGTTCGTGCAGGACTACACGGGCGGCGGGCTGGGCGCCGTGGAGGGGCTCAGCAGCCGCGGGCCCCCCATGCTGGGCGCCGGGCACGGCCCCCGCGGCGGCGCGGGCGCGGGGGGCTCGGCCACGCCGGGGGCGCAGCGCCTGTGCCGCCTGTCCGTGTGGATCTGGCAGTCGGTCATCCACCTGCTGCAGCTCGGCCAGGTGTGGAGGTAAGCCGGCGCGGGGACCGGCCGGGGGGACCGGCCGGGGGGCCGCGGCGCCCGCGCCCCCTCCCCCTCCCCGCGCCGCAGCCCCCGGCCCGGCCCGGCCCGGCCCGGCGGGGCCCCGCGCGGCGAGGGCGCGCGGCGCGGCGCGGCGCGCGGGGGGACGCGGGCCCGGCCGGGGGCAGGGCAGGGCAGGGCGGGGGGACGCGGGGGTCGCGGGGCAGGGCGGCGGGACGTGGGGGGACGCGGGCCCGGCCGGGGGCAGGACAGCGCAGGGGGACGCGGCCTGGCCGGGGCAGGGCGGAGGGACGCGGGGCGGCCCGCAGCGGGGCGACGTGTGTGTCACCCGGGCCGTGGACGCCCCAGCCAGCGGGGGGCGGCGCCGGGAGCCCCCCGGGGGGAGGGAAACCCTGCCCGGGAGCTCGGCCTGCAGAGTGGACGTGCCCGAGTGCCCGGCCCTCCCCGGGCCCGATCGCCTGGCCTTTCTGGCTGGCCCTTCTGGCTGGCCCTTCTGGCTGCGTTTGTCAGCAGGTAATTTCTCTGAGCATATAAGCAGAAGGGGAATAAAATAGGGGGGATGTGATTCATTTTTACCGATGAGGTATGGAGCCTCGGACGGGGGCGTCGAGTATACATATACTTGCAAAGAGGATTCTCAAGCCCACTCTGAGTCAGAGGGGGTCTTTGGTATTGGGGATCACCCGGCGTGTTTGGTATTGGGGAATATCCGGGGGGTTGGTATTGGGGATCCCCAGCATGTATGGTATTGGGGTACCTGCGGGTGTTTGATATTGGGGTACATAGGGATGTTTGGTATTGGGGATCCCCAGGCGTGTGGTATCAGGAATTCCTGGGAGTGTTTGGTATATCAGAGGTACCCAGGTGTGATTGGTATCATGGTTTGGTACTGGGGATCCCCTGGGTGTGTTTGGTATTGGGGTACCCGGGGGTATTTGGTATTGGATCCCTGGGTGTGTTTGTTATTGCGGTACTCCGGGGGTGTTTGGTACTGGATCCCCAGGCGTGTTTGGTATTCTGTTTCCTGGGGGTATTTGGTATCGGCAGTACCCGGGCATGTTTGGTACTGGGGATGCCCATTCTTGGTGTCCTTGCAGGTTGGTGTGCTGCCCAGAGGAGTGGGGAGGAGAGTGGGAAGAGGGACTGGCTACTGGGGACTAGGGACGAGCATTTGGTAGGAACCTTTTCCCCCTCTGCATGGCCGGCAGGGTTACCCCTCAGTCCTGTCGGGTGTGAGCCATCTGGGAAGGTTTATTGGACTTCCTGCAGTTGGAATTCATGTTCACAGTGTGGGTTTGTTTGTGGGTCACATCTCATGATGCTCAGGGGCTACTCCTGGCTCTGCACTCAGGAATTACTCCTGGCGGTGCTCAGGGCGGCTTATGGGATATTGGGGATCGAACCCAGGTCTGCCGAGTGCAAGCCAAGCACCCTACCCCATGTATTATCTCCAGCCCTAATGACTTTTAAACGCCCAAATGAGCCCCTCATACTCACCTGATCGTTCTTTTTAGGTAAAATGGAAGTTTTAGATATGGAGGCTAAGTGAAAGTACATTTTAAGTGCAAATTTATCTCTTCTAGTTTAAAACTATTTTGTGTTCTTGTTTTTCCTGGTCTTCCTTTAATTTTCAAGGTCGATAGAGGTGTGTGTATGTGTGTTTAATAAGGATGTCTGTAATTTTGCTACCTGAATTGTTGGTGGGTTATTTTTTTTTTCCTTTGGCAAGACAAGAATAATGCCCCTAAATGTTTCATAAAGTTGTTGTTAAAATATATTCTAATGCGCTCCAGAAATTTCTTCTAACATAGCTATACTGAGGCAGGGTTTACGTTCGTATGTTTTTCCCAGTAAGTTGGTTTTGCTTGAAATACTCGAGGAACTGGCTCTGCTCTCTAGCACCGTTATGGCTGGAGCTGTGTGCCAGACATCACATGTGAGACTTCAGCACAGACTCTGCCTTCGCTTATTTTAACCTGCAAATAAATGATGTCTTGCTGCTGCTTCTGAGGGTCCGATGTTTCAATTTCACTGCATGCCTTTTGGGGTTACACTTGCTCTCTCTAGCATGTTTGATGCTTTCATGTGGTCATGGGACAAAAAGGTTGGTCATAGTCTAGAACTTTTAGAAGGTGTGCCCGAGTGTGTGTGTGTGTGTGTGTGTGTGTGTGTGTGTGTGTTTTGCTGGGAATGTGTGTATGCGCATGCGTGCGTGCGTGCATGTACAGATGCTTCTCTCTCTCTGTCTCTGTGTGTGGGATCCAGGACCTCTTGTGTTCAGGGCAGGGCTCAGTGCCTGAGTGCCAGCGGCATCCTGAAAAGTATGGGAGTTCTACCATGTGACTTAGCCATATCCCTGGAAAGATGTGGGTGCAGCCAGTCTGCCTGGCTGAGCAGTGGGTGCTGAGTACCTGTCTCGACCCTCCTTCTCTGATGTGCAGAAGAATCTGATTAGCCTTGGCTGGCTGTAGCAGGGCATCAGGCAAAGTTCCTTCCTCTGCCCTGCCTGTTGCCTTTCCTGTCCAGACAGGAAGTTCAGCCTCTTTCCCCGGCGGCTTTGCAGAGCCTAGGGAAGTGGTTTGGGGGCATCTGGCCCCCTTGGGTGGCAGTGCTGGTGCCCCGTGCCCCTCGCGCTGATCTGGCCCTGGCGCTGTTTTCCAGGTGCTTTCCCTGGGGATCGCAGGTGGATGAGTCACTCACAGGCAAGTGAGTCACTTGGGCTCACTCTCCCACGGTGGTGTTATTAGAAAGTGAGATCATTTTCTTGGAGGTCTGAGCTTATTTGCACGCTGCAGTGTTGTGTCTCCTGAGCCCGAGGCTGTCCTCCACGCTGGGGTCACGTTCCCCTTCCTTCACTCCTGTCTGTATTCTGTTCTCCAGTGCCAAGCAGGACTTCCCCTCAGTGCGCATGCTGGTGGCTCTTTCTCCTGGACACGGGTGGAGCGGGGGTCTCCGATAAGGGACAGAGAGGAAGAAGTTTCATGAGCACAGGGATGTTGTGGTTGTCTCAAGTGTGTCTTATGGTTATTTTCTGTTGCAGGACCTCAATCACGTCAAGTTGCTGGGCCGGTGAGAGACTGGCCCCCTTTCTCCCGTGCTCCCCAGCCCAGCACTTGCGGGGGTGCCTGGAACCTCTCTGACCTGCTGGACTAGTGGCCCCTTTGCTGGGGCTCTGTGTGGACCTGGGGAGGCCCTGGGCGTGGAACCATGACTCTCTTCTCTAGCTAAGAACCAGATGCAACTGTAGGTTCTGAGAGACCCGTGGGACCTGGTTTGGAATTCTCCACAGGGTCAGGTGGGCCTGGGTGTTGGAAACTGGGCTCCATTTGGAGGCTGTTGCTGGATCAGTGTCACCCCAGGGAGTCGAAGGGCTTGTGATTTAGGCTTGTTCTGACCAGGTGACCTTGGAATTGGAAGTGCGCAGCAGTGCCTGGCACTGGCTTGGGTGTGTTCTGAGGGTGCCCTGTTTTCCCTTTGCTCAGGTATACATCTCATTCTTTTTAAAAATGTGGGGAGACTTCCAGGAAGTGTTCAGGAACCTCCCCCTCCCCCACCCCAGCCCAGGCAATGCTCAGCCAGCCTGGCCTGCGGTTCAGTGTCACAACCCGAGGATGTCGTGTTGCTGGGGTGGTGCCAAGCCATGTACAGGGCCTTCAGGGCACTACCTGAGCATGCCTGGGGGACCCAGTGCACTGGGAGCTGCACCCTAACTGCTGTCCTGTCCTGGGCCCGGAGTTTGAACCTCAAGTTCAGAGCCACTTTCACTGAGGGTGGTTCCCTTCTTCCTTTACCTTTTTGTGCCCCGAGAAGTAATGAAAGGCTTGGTAACTTCTCTCTTTCTCTTTCTCTCTTTCTCTCTCTGCCTCCCACGCACATACCCCTTGGTTTACAAAGTTGTCCATAATACAGTTGTTCCAGGCTTTTGGTGCTCCCAGTCCCACCACCTGAGTGACCTTCCCCCACCATTGTCCTTGTTTCCCCAGCCAGCCCTGAGCCTGCCCTCTCAGCAGGCCACAAGATAGTTTCTTTCTTGTTACTTGTTAGGACTAAATGGCCAGAGGACTTATCAAAAGTACTTCAGTACTTTAGAAAATTGGGGGAAATCGTCATATCTTACCATGGGGGAATCTTTGAGGATTTACTACGCTGTTCGTTCCTAGTTGAGCCTGTTGTTGCTTGTTGGGCGCCAGTGGCTTTTACCTTACTTTCTCATCTCACTTGCTGTGCCCCCAGTGGAATTTCAGTACTGTGAAACTTGGAGGTGTTGTGTGGCTGCGTGTGCAGCCGCACGACCGATAAACATCGGGCTCTGTGGAGCCAGGACGCATCTGCAGATTCTTGGTGAGGCAGCGAGGTTCGGCCGTTGTGTGTTGGCAGTGTGTGTGGGGGCTGCGACAGGACTTGGCCCCTCCTGAGGGTGCCCCAGAGTTTTCAGCAGGTGCGGGGATGGTCCTGGGTTTCAGCCGCTCAGAGAGTCAGTCAAGAGTCTGAAGAGAAGGCTGGTGGGCAAGTTGGTGTGGTACCCGAAATACCCATCTTTGGTGTCAGATTGTCAGAGGCGCTGGACAAGTGATCCGTAGCATCCCGAGGCAGCCTTGGTTTGTGATTTAATAATGGCTGTGTCACCTTCCAACAGGGCCTCCCCTCCGGGGGCCAGCCCCAAGCCCCCTGTGAGGACGCCACAAAGCCCCTGCTTACTTGGTGCCATACAAATCTAAGCGCTTATCAATTGAACAGGATTCTGATGTGCAAGAAACTCACTGAGGATGTTTTGAAAGGACGTTTCAGAAAGATTCATCTGAGAAGAGTCAAATGTTTTTGAGTTGTCCAGAAAAAGTCCTTGGGAGTGTTGAATCTGTGTGAAGTCTCCAAGTCTGCTGTCTGGAGAGGTGATGTGTCAGGAGCCGATGATGAGGGAAGTGAGAGGCCAGGGCTGTTGGGGAGGTGCATATCATCAGCAGAGGGGAAAAGGGTGATTTGACAAGTGG